TTCACAGCGTAAGTTGCTGTAGTTACTGATCTAGGGTTTATCTGATCTCAGTCTCTGAAACAGAAAACCCCCATTTCAGGCTAAACATACTCAGAGTTTTCACTAAACCTGCCTTCTGAAACAGGGCCCAGGTCTGAGTGTTCCTCACATCAACAAATATTTCATTGTTTGTTTGATTTCTAGGTGAATGCAGACAAACTGCAGAATGTACAGCAGAAGCTGGAGGCCTTCCTGGCCCAGGAGAAGGAACTGAAGGAGAGAGCCCAGAGGTGTTTTGTTTCCTACCTGCGCTCCGTCTTCCTGATGAAGAACAAAGAGGTGTTTGATGTCTTTAAACTCCAGATTCAGCAGTACGCAGTTTCTTTGGGCCTCGCTGTGGCTCCGAGGGTGCGCTTCTTAAATAAAGCTCAGGCACAGAGAGCTGAGAAAGAAGGACAGAGAGAGGAGGAGCAATCCGAAGAAGAGGGAGAGCTGAGAAGCTTTAAGGCCCAACTGAAAGGAAACGTTCCAAATGAGGAACATCAGAGCTCAGAGTCAGAAGATTCAGGCGATGAGGAGGAGAGCGGCGTTGAACAAGAGGCGGATCGACCTCTAGGTGCAGTGGATGAGGATGATGATGATGATGATGATCTAAGAGATTTGGACCTGCTGACAGTGAAAAGAAAGGATGTCTTCAATCTGACAGCGGACGAGGAGAGTCCGGAGGAAGCTGTCCAGGGCCCCAAAATGAAAACCGAAAAAGAGACGAAGTTTAAAGAAGCTAAAAAGGTCCTCAAGAGAAAATTCCAAGTCAACACCAAAGTGGCTTTCAGCGAAGAAGGACAGGCCGTGCAGCTGTGGCCGCCAGTCCAACAGGCAGTGACTGCAGAGGAGAACGAGGGGGAGGAGGAGGAGGTGTCAGGGATCAACGTGGAGAAGGCCAGGGAGAGGCTGAAACGTGAGGACCAGGAGTTTGACAAGCATGAGTACAGCCGCAAAGTGAAAGCCAAACACCGAGAGAAGAGGCTGAAGGCAAAGGCAGCCCGGAGGGAGGCCAGCAAGCAGCACGGGCAGAAATCTGACGAGGACGAGGAGGACGAGGTGGTGGCGTACCTGGCCAATCACAGCGAAGACGAGTTCGACCCCAGCAGCCTGCCGGACCCTGACAAACTGCGCACAGAGGAGGATGAGGAGGACGAGGAAGAGGAGGAGATATGGTCAGCTAAACGGCAGCATAACAGTGAAAGCAGCGACGAGGAAGAGGAGGATCTCACAGCACGGAAGAGGAAGAAGGTGAGGCAGCAGGATGATGAGCACACAGCTCTGGACACTGGTCTCTCTCTGGCCGAAGACGAGGAGTTGGTCTTACAGCTGCTAGGAGGACGAAGGTAGAAAACAGAGGAGTCAGAGGTTGCAAATATTCTGAACTCTTCAGCTGACCAAAGTTCTAACAACAAGGTTAGCTGAAGTTCCAGACTCCATGCTGATTCTGCCCAGTGTGTGTGTTCGCACTGGTTCACCTCCATGTATTTGGAGGACTCAGAAATCCTGACTTTTAGTCTATTGTTTGGGTCAAGCTTTAAATACTGGATCCTACAACTCCCATAATGCAGCCAATACTGTGTCTTTGTTAAAACCCTTTAAAACTTTGCTTCAAATCTTATTTGTCTGTAACATAAATATACAGGACTAAATCAGCGACACTCAGAGTGACACATGTTTGACTGTGTGGGTGAGGTTTCATCTGATTTGATTGATTTCTTGTGTATCAACTCAACTTAATCATCAGAGGGACTGCATGCCTTTTGATGACCTGTACTGAATAATTATCATCTAACTGTCTTATGTTATCAAAGTAATTTAATAACAGAATGCTATCACCATTTTGAGATGAACTTTGATATTGAGTTATTCTATTAAATCATTTGTATTGCTCATTTCAGTGTTTAATGGTTTGAAATTAATTTGACCTCCTATTCATGAGAGCTGCATTCATATGTGTAGATATTTGCAGGTCTGGAAACTCAGTTGTTAACACTGTCATGAGTTAATGTCTCAGTCTGTATCAAACAAACTAGTTTGTCCATCATAATGTCGCTCCTCATCCAGACTCATTCCAGTGTTTCAGGTGCCAAACCCTAAGAAGCCATGAAAGAAGGGGATGCAGAATGTTTGTTTTGTGATGAGCCATTCTCTGCTACTTCTGGGCACTGGGTGTGATGTGAGCAGTGTCAGAGGTGGAGTTCACAGGTCATGTTCAGACGTAACTGGAGCTGAATTCATTGGCGACCTTTTGTCCTTTTAAGTTAAATAATGTAAATCTGTAAATAATATTAACTTAGCGTTTGTTTGTGTTTAATGTTTCATTCATTTTCAATCAGTTATATTCCGATTAATTTATTTATAAAATAACATGACAAACTATTAAAAACATTATTTTCTTTCCTACATATTCTTAACCTTTCTTGTAAATATAAAAATTTTAGATCAGTCTGTCTAGGTTAGGCGAGTTTAGGTCACAAATTCTAAACATTATCTTCCGGCCCTTTATTGCAATACTAGAAGTTACATAGTCACTAAAACAGAGACTCTGAGCAGAAAGTCACAAAATCATTTATACTTGCAGCCACTCCCGTAACGGTTAAGCTTCTCACCCTGTTCAGGGCTGATACACACCTCTTCATCTAGACATGGTGTCCCTTCACCCACACTGACATCATCCTGGACTCTTCACCCCAAACTGACATTTAGCTAGGACTTTAAAGTTTCCCGTTATGCGTGTATTTTACGTTGTTTATCCTTAAGACAAGTTTCGCTTCCCCATCAGTTGAAGATCACGCATAGTTACTTTGCACAGCCCACAACTCATTGGTCACACACAGGGTAGCTTGTACTTTTCTACTGATCGCACAGTGTGCACATGGTGCAACTTAAGTACAGGAAACAGGCTGTCAGAGAGTCACTCACCGTTCTAAGCTGTTTTACTTCTTAGTGCAGGTTAATTTTAGTGATGTCTGTCTACACCTGACTTCTTCTGTCAGGACTGTAGCTGACTCAGCTTTTCTTTTCCTAGGCCTTGGCTTCTGTATCCTTGGCCTGGGGGACAACTCCAATATATTTTTTGTTGTACTACTGGTACAGCAATGAATAAAAAGATGGTTATTGGTACAGTAACACTTATTTCAAAATCAACTCTGTAGGCATCTATATATTTCCTAAAATGAGAGTAAGGTCACTGGAGACCTGTGGCTGCTGCGTAGGATGTGAGGAGGATGTTGTGAGGAGGTTGAGGTTGTTATGGAACTAGTTGCAGGGGTAGAAGGCAAGGTGGGGGTTGAGGTTGTGGCAAACGGTTGGAGTAGAATGGATTCTTTACATTGAAGAAAAGAAAAGATAAAACAACAATACATTAGAATTAGTGTAAGAAACAGTCATTTCTACCAAGGTCAAGCTACTTTTAATACTTTCCCAAAAAATAATTTTCTTACCAACAACTTGTTCAGCGTCCTCTGTCACTTAGCAGCCATGAAGTCCATCTCCGTAAATATATCTGCGTTCAACGGCCCTGCACTCCCCTCTCGACACAAGCCACCTTATTGTAGGCCTGGGAGAACAGACCAGCCATGTGATATTTATCTACCCTCTTTCCAGGATTCTGTTATCCAGTTATCAGATGCCCTGAATGAGTAGGCCTTCAGACTCCTAAAAAGGGTCCTAACAAGGGGCAACGTCCTGTGTGTGCAGTGAAGTGGCAGAGTGAAGCATCACTTCCTGGCCTCTTGCTGTAACAACAGTGTCAAGGTTCTTGTGGGAGTGGTGTCTATCAAGAATAAGGATCTGTGGCCTCTGGGATGCACCCAACACTGTGTGCAAAATGATACAGCCAGTCCATAAAGACTATCAATGTACCCTGAATCAGACAGCCTACCAATTCACCCTGCAGGTGCTCCATCCAACAGCTGTGGATTAATCCTTTTCTGGGGGAATATGAAAAAGTGTGGTGCATACTGCCCTGCAGCATTCATGGCACATACTGCAGTGACATTGAAGCCCCTCCCAGCACTGGTATTACTCCTGACCTGTTTGTCCCCCTTGGTGGCAACCACTGGCAACAACTTTTAAAGATTCTGAATGCCCGTCTCATCCATGTTCAACACCCTGGTGGGGCCAACATCATTTAAACTACATAGAACCTCCTGGTAGACCCACAAAAAGTGATCAGCTTTTGCTTATTGAAGTCCACAACTCGCTAAACTGGTATAATTCTTGATGTCACTATGTCATCTATGCCTGCCAACCCCCTTTCTTTATTAAATGTGTTTTGTATTCACATTCTTTCAGCCAGGTCAAACTTACCCCAGGGGGCGTCTCCCTCCATGTTAAAATAATAATAATTTCGGTGATTTGCAGTTGAAAATTTTTCTTGTTGAAACTGACATTTAAAAAATACTGTCAAAGACATTAAGACTAGGCTAAATGCAGGAAATATTCAATAATTCACTTTTGAACTACATTTAGTTGTTTCAACTGCAGCACAATCACAATAACTGAAAAACACATTTCAGATCAGAGTTACTGCTGACCAGGCACCAGGATTAACCAAACCTGGCTGTCGGTTAGCCTGGCCTGGAGCAGGCTAGCTGCACAGAGTAAGTCTCCATGGTAACATACTGCTTTCGTGAGTCACGGCTAAATTCAACCAGAATGCCAAATGTGATATAAAATTGCCTGATTACGTATTCAATTAACTGTGTTCCACTGTATTTTGTCAGACAAAACACTTCAGGTCATTGTCGAATTTTAGTAACTTGATCCACAACATTTTTTCACAATAACCTCTTTTTCAAAGACTTTTTGAAGTGTGGAGCGCTGGACCTGAAACGGTGCATTTGCCTGATCTCGAGGCGGGAAACTAGTGCTAGATTTCATCGAACAATGTGACCTTTTTCAGTTCATATTCATTCTGCCGCACATCTTCAACACACAGATATTGTAATTAAATCACTTATCAATCATTATATTTTCCTGTGTGCCTCAAATGCAGCACTGATCAGGGATGAGTTCAGGCACCACGCTGCTCTCGCGCTGCCACATATAAAGACAATCGGTGAGCTGGTAACTTCGCCTTTTCTCTTGGTCTACTCGGTGGAAACCGAGCCATGACAGAGGTGCATTCATTTCAGCGAACGAATCTGACGACAATTTCACTAGGAAAGTTTGTTCCATTTGACAAACTTCAAAATAGGGACGCGAAACGAATCGCTGCCCTAATGGTAAGTAAAGTTAACGTTGATTAATGTCCATATTGCATTTGAATGTTATTATAAGTTAAATAAGCTAACTTATGTCTAACTTGTCTAAAGCAGAATCTCTTAACGCAAACGTTAGTTAGCAAATAGGCAAACATAAAAACAAACAGCTAAACAAAAAAATCTAGTTTTTCAATAATTTTAAGTTACCAAATATTGTTGCTTGTTAACTTGGCTAACGTTAAGTTAGCAAACTTAACATGACTTTATACTACCTTTAACGTTACCGTTAATGTTAGCTAGTCTTCTTTAAACAACATTTACATTAAGTTGGGTGATAAACAGCTAACTTAGGAACGTTAGTGCATTTGGAAGTGTAAAGTACACAATTCAGGTGGTTAGTAAGTCGGTAACTTTAAGTTGCCGAATAATGTCACGTCGGACTGCTGAACTCGAGTAGTCTCGTGCCTTGTTATGGACGACTGTCTATGTAACGTTACTGTTAGGAAGTTAGAAATGCAATATTTTTTTTAAGGGTGTTCCGTCCTAGTTCTAGCACAATCTAGCAGAACAGAACATACCGTTTTGGCAGTTTGAGAATAAAAACTCTTACTTTTGCCTTTCATTTTCTTGAACCATGTATAATATAACATTGTGCTTTTATTTAGAAATAATCATGGCCACAAAACAAGTGGTTATTGAAGCCCAGATGCACGAGTCCTGCGGGGCAGCAAGGAATGGAGACCCCCCAATTCAAGTCAAGATTTTACAGGTCCCAGCCAAATGTGGACCCATAACTGCCGTTCAACCCCCACCCACTGCTGCAGGTGTCTCAAAGAGCGACTCTGTGTCTGTTCCACCTAAAGTCATCGCTGGCCAGGGCCACCAAGCTACCTCCTCTACAGTTCAGGGGCTTCAAACATCCTCTCCTTCTGTCATGGTGTTAGCAAAGATGCCCGCCCCAGGAGGAGTGAGCGCTAACGGCCAACCACAGTTAACAAAACCAGCTTTGAGTCAGCTGGCCTCCATGAACCAGGCCACGACCCCAGGGAGGACCGTGGTGATAACAGTGCCAAGGGCAGCAGCTCCACAGCCAGTCACAGTGGCCCCTCGGCTTCCACAGACTGCTTCCCCACAGGTCCCAGCCAATATCCAGATTCCACCAGGTGAACTACCGCTGTTTGTGGTCTAGATTCTAGTCCTGATGGGTGATGTTATTATTTGTATTTATATAACTCATGTTTACAGATTTGGCCACTGTTACACAGTGAATTAATTTTTTTTTGTATTCAGTACACTGTATCGTTCTATGCTACAAGCTGTGTCTGTTTTGTTTCTACAATGTACACAAACTACCATTGTAGACCCAGCACTCCCTCTTTTCAGGACAAATCAATTTATTACAGAACTAAATGGTTTTGGACTCGCTATTTCTGGCAGGTATGATGTTGATCCGCAGTGATAGAGGTCAGCTGATTCTGGTATCCCAGCAGGCTTTGGCACAAGCTCAGCAGGGACCAAGAGGCGTCACTGGTCAAGTGCCCAGAATACTGGCCCCACAGGTGTGTGTGTGTGTGTGTGTGCGCGCTGCTTTTTATTTTTATACTGAATTGGGCAAATGTAGTGACATCTTATTGGTACTCCTGTGGTCTTAACAAGCTGTCATGTCTGGAATTCAGGTATCTGCAGCAGCTGGAAATAAAGGTAATGAGAAGGTGACAGTGATCAGGATGACAGCCCCACCCAGTTTTCAGCCAGCACCTGTCCAGAAAACTGCTGTGGTAAAGGTACAAGAGCTGGTTTACACTTTACAGTCACTGCCAGCAGCTCATAGACATAGACTTTAAACTATAGAATGGAAAACTATTCTACTATAAACTGACTCATGTGAGTGGGACTTAAGTACACATCCTAGCAGGTGGTATATCTACTGTGCTTTGACTTTGGCTCCTGCTGCGTCATTCAGCAGTGGTTGTTTTTGTCAGTTTTATCTGCTGGTGTTTTGGGGTGATTATGTTGTGTTGTCCAGGTGATCGGTGTAGCTCCAAAATCAGCTGTAGTCCAAACCCACAGTGCTGCGTCTGAGCGGGGGAGCCAGCCTCGCATTCAGGCAGTCGTCACAGAAACCAAAAAAGAGCCGCCAACCACATTTACTCCGGTGAGTCTAAACAATCCCAGCTTCAACTTGCATCCTCACTTAATTTTCAGCCTGAAACTGCAGGACAATATGGAGGCAACTGACAGGCCATCCCATCAGTCTTTCCGTGGGCAACATTGATATTTTTGTGCTGTCATTACAGGAAAAAACGCACACGAACCACTATCATGATGGCAAGTCCTCTTCTGTGTTGGTACTGGTACTGCTTCCAGTACTACAGAGAGAATCTGTTTTATGAGATACAGAGTGCTAAATGAACTCAAATAAAATGACAAACTCCCATCACAGTTCAGCGATGTTACAAGGAGGAGCTGACATTATTGTCTTCACTTTGACACTATTTGTTGTCCAGATAATAAACGACTCCAACCCGCTGGGTAGACCCAGCATGCCTAGCTGTTGTGGATGTCTTGCTGTTGTGTTCAAAATGGTGAAGTCCCAAGTTTGTAGATTTCTTGGGTGGAGGTGCACTTAATATACATGTCTTCTGTGTACATATTAACACTTTATGTGCACACATTTCTTTCTGATCTACTTTTGATCCTGCTTTTTTCCTCAACTGATGCATCAGGGGTTTATTAAGTGACTTGAATTACAAAGTAAACGTGTGCCTGACCTTAAGATTGGTTGGTTGGTTGAGATTGGATGACCTGACATTTGACCAACAGGAGACTCTGGAAAGTGTGAAGAAGTGCAAGAACTTCCTGGTGACTCTTATCAAGCTGGCCTCCAGTGACTCCAGGTCTACCAACATGGCCGACAACGTCAGAGGACTGGTCAGGAGTCTGCTGGTAAGTGTCCTGTCGACACCATTACAAGAGCTGTTTTCAGTTAGTAGAATAGCAGAAAAGTGTTTCTACTGTCAAACACAAGGTGCCAATTTAAGTCTTAAAAGAACTACAATGTCTTAAATCTGTTAGTTACTACTTTTTGTTATTAACCTGCATTCAAGTTATTTCTCTGCTTGTCGCTCTTATATTAGAGGACAACTAATACTACATGTATCAGATCTACTTTTGTCAACAGAATTTGTTAACTTGGTAAAAAAAAGCTTGCTTTTAAGTAGACCTAAAAGAAGTTAACGTTATTTTGTCAAACCCTGTTCTTATACTGTTCTTTTGTAGTTGCATATTGTTCATTTTAACTTACCATCTTATTCTATTTGTGTGTTGTTTTTTTTTGTTTGTTTTTTAATATTTTTTTCAAAAGGGTTGCATACATACATTAGAAAATGTATCACACCTCAAAATATCACAGGGAACTACACCTCAGACATAACAAGAACAGGGAGAAACAAGGGAGATAGATCCAGGGGAGATATAGTGTTATATACATTATATGCATTAGTATTTTCACTAAGGGGGCTGGTAGACTAAAGACGTGGGACTGTTTTCATGTTCTTTCCAAAGTCGCCGGTTCAAGTCAGGCCCGTGCAGTACATTCTCAGAAGCAGCCGCATACACTCACTTTTATCTCCTTTTCAACTTTGTTTGTTGATTCCATCTTATCAGCGACAAGTTACTACATTCAGATTGCGCTCGCTACAGTTATGCTACAATCAGATATTGGGCTACGAGACCGTGGATACGGCCCTTTTGAAATGCGTTTTAATTTTTTGCCAGATTATGTAAAAAATCCCCCCAATTCCATGTTACTTTTTCCACCCAGCAATATGACTGTTTACACCATGTGCAATAAAAATATTAAAACATAATTGTTTGTGTGATATTAATTTAAGCAGACTGTGTTTGTCTATTATTGTGACTAAGATGAAGATCAGATCAGATAAACTGGTCATTTTAGCATGCATCATTTTCACTCGCGTTGAACTTTCACGCCTACGACATGTTTAACACATGTGTATTGGCTGTGAATATAGCCGGTTACTTACCGGTCTTTGCCGCTGTGCGCATGACGAAAAACAACGTCCAGCACGGCACTTGTGTAACGTTTTGTATAGCCGCTGCTCGGCGCCGGTCACCAGTCATGGCTGATTAAGCTGAAAACCGTCCCATTCCAGTTCCCTAGCCGGTCGATCAGTGCATCCATACTTTTATGTGCACACACTCATGGCTGGATTGGGAAACCCTGGGTTGACTTACTAAGTTGATAACCAGGGTTGTGTGACATATCCTGATTGCTATGTTTATTGAAGCCAGATAAATATATAAATGCTCTGTATTTGTATAGCGCTTTTCTTTGCGACCACTCAAAGCGCTGTTACACTACATCTCATTCACCATTTACACACTGGAACAGCCACCATCTTGCACAAGGACACTTAAACATGCAGCCTGGAGGAGCAGGGGATTGAACTGCCGATCTTCCGATTAACAGGCAACCCGCCCTATCTCCTGAGCCCCAGCCGGCCAGATAACAAAAAGATATCCTGGGCATGTTAAACTTTCTGGGTGGTACAGGCCACAGAGGGGGAAATTAGCTGAAAAAATAACAAAATAAATAGTTTTGATTGATTAATTTATTGAAAAATGTGGTTGGGATGTATACATATGAGAATAATGTATGTATTTACAATATGTTCCAGGTAACCAAACATTTACTTCCTCAAGTATTTGTTTGCTTTTTCCCTGCAGGAAGGGAAGCTAGAAGCAGAGGAGTTTACTGAACAGCTCTATCATGAGTTGAAGTCGACTCCACAGCCCTGCTTGGTGCCTTTCCTCAAGGTGACTAGATTCAACAAAATATGGAAAGTCTGAAAATGTCTAAAATTCTGACCTGGTCTGAGCAGATTATAAATGCACGCAATTGGCTAAGATAAGCGGATTCAACATTCAGATCAGTTCTTTACAGAACTTTTGCTGTGTTTTTTCCATCTCAGCCTGCCAGTGTTGCAGTACTGCTCTCTCTAAGAACAGCCAGGCTCTTGACTGCAAGCATTTCACTGCAAATGAAACTGAATATTAGAATGAAAATATTTGGTCGCGTCAGTGATTGACTCTGTTGGCAAAATGCACAGATTCACTAAGCTCAGATTTTAAGGAATGTTAAACTTTCATTCATATTATATCATTAATTTAAGATGATCAACCTATTGGTGTTGAATCTGGACCTTCAGCATTTGGACTAAGTAGGTTGTAAAAAGAAGGTGGGCCAAATTTAGAAGGCTACAGCTATTATTTCAGTGAGTCTCTGATAGGGCGTCAGGGCGAAAAACATGGAGATCGGGACATCCCTACTTTTAACAATGCTTGCCATGTGTTGTATTCTTTCACCAAAGCTATTCTGAGACTAGTTGGTAATGTTTGGACTCTGCTTAGCTATGACTCTGCTTACCATTTTCCCTTACAGACTGGTTTTAGCTCTTATCATTGTTTTGATAAACAAAATGGAATAAATTTGAACTCAAAGTAGCTTATACAAATGTCTCAAGGGAATTTGGCTGATGACATGACGTCTTTCCTTTCGTCTTCTCCTCATTGTTACCAGAAAAGTCTTCCTGCGGTTCGTCGCCTTACTGCAGACCCCCAATCATTTATCCAACAGGCTTCAACTTCCACCCACAACTCCATCACTCTGTCTTCCACCATGAAGCAGTCCAGCACTGACACAGGTCAAAAATGCAATACAAACCAGCAGGTAATGAAATCTAACTAATGCGCATTCAGTGTTTCCAATGGACTGACGGGGGGGTGCTGTTGATATTGAGTGGCAGCTATGTACAGTGTGCTAACTTGGACAACCCAGCTTTATTCTAAGTAGTTAGGCGCCATACATGCTTGCTAATAATTTATTTGAAGATGGGTCTCTGACATTGACAGCGTTGTGTTAAGAACATACACATACACTTATCAATTTACTTGAATGCAATAGTTTGGACAAAGTTGTAGAGCGGTGTTTATGATACAAACCAGTCAACTCCGAATTGATTCACAAATCTTCTCGCGGAAAGTCAGAAGTCAGTAAAAAAGATTTCCTGCAGCCCATGATCGTGTTTTCATTGCATCGGACCCCTTTCCAGCTCCATACCTTTCATACAGCACAGAAAGTTGGCATATTGGTGCAATACTCCTAGAAAATAAAGCCGTGTTTAAGGGCCTAATGTGTTTTTTGAGAGAGGGGGAGAGAGGGAGCGAGTGAGGGGAGGGGCTGAGCGAATTTGCGCTGTGCGCGGCTCTACAATGAAATACGATTTTACCTATTTTAAATGGTAAAGAAATCGAAAATTAATATGTGGCGGTCAGCGTTGATAGTGTGGCACAAATAAATCAAGAAACGGGAAACACTGGCACTGATACAGGCTTTTATATGGACTGAATCGATTAAGAAATGAAACAGCGTTGCTCTGTAAGAGGGAGGAGACAGAGAGACTCAGGGTTTGTTTGAAACAAAGAAAGAAACAAAAATTAAATAAAATTACACTAGTGGGGTCTAAGCCCCCCCGTTGCAAGCCGTACCTAGCAGTCTGCAGAGGTGGTCCAAGTCTGTCCCACAGCGGTGCCACACGTCGCAGGTGGAGAGCAGGGCGCCATTTTAGGAATTGACTTAAGTGAAAACTCTAGAGTTTACCCTGAACAAAGAATTTAATTAAATTGATAAATGGAATCTATTATCTAGGATCATGGAGTCTATTTTTGAAAGCATTCTTAATTAATTTGTCCATACTTGCCTACAGCTTTTCCACAGTACTGTTCATGCCACATTTGGGACTGATGCTTGATGATGCTGATGCAGTATGATTGCCCTTAAAATGCAGGTTATCCAGCTGCCTCGTGGATTGACTCTGAGACCTGGTTTGACAACATTAGCCCACTCCAGAAATGACATATCTAAAAGCAGCAGACCCTCCCCCAAACACACAGTGATCCAGTCAGGAAAACACTTAGCAGGTGAGTTTGGAGTTCAATTCGGATTCTTGTGGTCACGATTTGATCCAGAATCAATTTTTGATTCAAAACCAATTCTTGATTGAATTTATATAGAAAAGGGGGCACCATTTTTTTCCCTGTTAAACTCACTTTGTAGATCCTATTTACACCTGGTTGAGTGGTTGGAAGACTAGAAAGACGCTATACAAGTACAGTCCATTAACCATATTTATACAGATGTAAATGTACACACAAGAACACATTGTAATTAGATCTGCCAGACTACATCAAGTCAATGACAGTGCAGACAGAATTGCTTATGCTTATTAATACCAGGTGTAGATGTTGTTATCCAGATAACGTTGCCTACTTGGCTAAATGAAATGCTACTCTTTGTTTGTTTTCTCTTTTTATAGGAACATTTTCAATGAAACATTCTTTCAAGCAGGATCCGCCTCGTTCTACTACATTTACATTCAAGAACAGTTCAGGATCTTACAAGTAATGCATAGAGTTGATTTCTTTACACTCAAATTTAAGTGTGAGGGGTTTCAAGTTGAACAAGTGTGTGTGTGTGTGTTTCCCAGAGAAGATGATGACATTAATGATGTAGCCTCCATGGCTGGAGTCAACCTGAAAGAGGAGAATGCACGGATCTTGACCACCATGGTTGGCTCTGTGGTTCAGTCATGTCAGGATCAGCCCTTCCTCTCACCTAACCCTGTGCTCAGCCGAATCCTTCATACAGGTACAAGCACCGGACCTCGTCCAACGTACTAGACTCAACATTTAACATTTACCACAGATTCTGGTCTGTATAACCTCGTCCGACTCTCACAGCAAGCTCGGGGGAGGAGAGCTAGTTTACCTGTCACCATGAGTAATTGGTGGGTCCATGTGTCCATCTGCATTTTGTGTGAAGCTAACCGATAGTTTCAGAGCCTGATGGATTTGGTTCAGACAATGTAGAGGAATACCAAAATAATAGGGATTCATTTGAAGATGGGTAAGTGTATTTATCACAGTAATAGTGCACTTCATGCCATAAGAAGATGGATCCAGGGAGATGGCCCCCTCATCTGTGTGAACTGGATGGACACTAGAGAAGGGACTGTGTGTGTGAGAGAGAGTGATAGCAGTGATGGTCGAGCGAGCAAGAGGGTGAATGAAAAAAGTGATGAGAGAGAACAAAGTAGTGAATCAAAGAAATAAAACATTATTTTATGATTGTTTCACGGCGGTTACATTCAAAACCACAATTAACCACGGCCAAACCCCCATACAACCCTGCAGGAAGGAGCCACATTGCTGGATTTTGTGTGAATGCAGCCAAAGACCTCGTTCAGGGATCCCGCAATAGATAGATCTGCCAACATGCCGCATTCTCTCATTCATACTAAGCAAAAGTTTGCGGCATAATCCTGCAACCTTGTGAGCTTTCACATAGCGATCTGGCTTCCTGGAACCAGCGCCGTGACAGATAATAAAAATTGCATATAAAACTACACTGGGATGCCGGCTGTGGCTTTTCACACATCGTTCCATCACTGTTACTACCAGAGCTCCCTGCTCAGAGGTAGAGCAAATCGGACCTCCCACCCCCTCAGTAAATATATTTGATCCATTTTTTATTTTTTTTTACTTGATTTCCTAGAAAATGCACCAGACAAGCTTAGCTGTAATGTGCCTTTGTGTTCGACTGTTGTTGTGATGCTATGTTTTGTATTTCCTGTGTTAGGACAGGCGCTGGGAGTCACTGATGTCGGTCCAGAGGTGGTGGCTCTGGTTTCTCATGCTACACAGGAGTGTCTCCGTGGGCTGTTGGAGAAGCTTACTGTGATGGCAGAACACCGCAAGGCAGGCCTGAAGGTACAGCAGTCTGACCCTGACCCAAAGCAGCGGCAGTGGTTTACTTCCATATTGCCCTATGAAGAAGTGATTTATCTATTCTCACTTAGAAAAATGATGTCAGAACAGTCATTCATGTCTGGCAGAGTTTTTCCTCCATGAGGGGTGAAAATAACAAATATTACTTTATTAAAAAAGGAGGTGATGAAAATGTATGTGAATTGAAAAATAAAATGCTTATATTCAAGTGATTTGATTAATTTAAAGTGTATTTGATTAAAACAGTAGTGATGGAATGAAAACAAAACAATTACTTTTATTTATCAATCATCATTTACAACCCAAAATTGGCATTCATCATTTAAAGAAGGTAGCCTCAGGGGTTAAAGTAACAAAAAGTAAATAATAAAATGAAGGTGATGAAAATGCATGAGAATTGAAATACAGAGTGCTTAAATTTAAGCTGAATTTAAATATAAAGTAATAAGTTGTCAACTGATGTGATAAACGTGATTTACCATTCATCGTTCACAACACCCTACTGTCGTTCATCGTCATTTTTGGCTCTCAACTTGTCGGCAAGCTTCGATCCCAAGCTGATGCTAACTGAACGGGAGGGTATGCTGACCAGGTTTTAGAGAGTCACACACAGAAGTAAAAACGTATTAGAGAAGTTAATTTAGGGGTGACAATACTTGGGAGCTAAAGGCTCAAAAGAAGTCGCGTGTGAAGTTGGAAAGTGATGATCAACCTTGTTATTTAGCTGACTTTATACAGTGTTTACATTAAACTTGCCACATCGACAGTCTAACGTTAGATTTGTTCCTCTAACGAGTGACTGTTCAGGGAGAGAAAAGACATGCCAGTACCATTACAGTAAGGGGATGGAAGTGTTGAGGGGGGTGCAGAGTTCTTCCTGTCCACCAAGCATCGCCTGTAGCTACAATGAAATACTACAATTTCACTCACCGATACAACTGGAGCAGTGGCTTCTTGGGCAGTCTGTTGTACAATTAACAGCAAAGCACGACATAATATTCCTCTGGTCAGCTGGGCTGCTCCAGCTCCAGCAGCGTCCTCGGAGGCCGACAAGTTGAGAGCCAAAAACTTGATCAATATGTCAGGGGGCATGGTTTGTGATTGACAGTTTAATCGGCAAGTAACAAATTACATGCGGTAAACGATGAATGACATTTGGGTGTTGTGAATGATGACTGGTAAATCAAGTTTATCACATCAGTTGACAATTTATTACTTTATATTTCAATCCACCTTAAATTTAACCACTCTATATTTCAATTCACATGCATTTTCATCACCTCCATTTTATTATTTACTTTCCTTGAGGCTACATTCTTTAAATAATGAATGCCAATTTTGGGTTGTGAATCATGATTTATAAATAAAACTGATGCAAAATGGTTATATTTTCATTTTATCACTACTGTTTTAATCAACTTTAAATTAATCAAATCACTTGAATATTGACTATTTTTCATTTCACATCCATTTTACCCCTTAATTTTTCCATTCACATGCATTTTTATCAACTACACTTTTGTCATTTAATATTTATTACTTTCGCCCGTCATTTCTGCCACCATGACGAAAGAAACCCTACTCAGTTCTTTGTTATTTCAATAAACCTTCCACTATTTTTACAGGATCCTTTGTTATCCACTGTAACATTTTCCACATTATTTTTGCACTAGTTAGCAAAATATTAATTTTAAGAACAAACTCTTCTTAAAGTAACAATCAACAGATCTCTGAAAATAACATTTTCCTGTTGTAGCAAGTCTATCTTGCTATAACAAGAAACGTCCATATGGTGTTAAAGAGAAAAGGATCCAGCATTTCCTTAGTAGACAATGTAGCCCAGAGCAATAACATAACATGATGCAGACAAGCGGGTGTGGGTTGCCATTTTGTTTGTACACCTATGCATAATCAGACTGTGTGTGTAATTAATATCAGAGATCGTCAATGACCGGGCTACGACTCTGTACTAGTCAGTGCAGTGTTGGTATACCTGGCGGCGATGGGCTGATATTTGTGTCAGTAGAATCAGAATTTAAATTGCTCAACTTGAATCATCATATTAAAAAACTGAATTTTAATATTATTATAAATTATACATTTGAATTTGTATTGTTTAACTTGAATAATTGCATTGAAAAACTGAATAGAATAATTTGAAATTGAATTTATTAGTTTGAAACTGAATTCCAATAAACTTGAAACTGAATTCAGTTGCTCTTCCTGAAGGACCTTGAACTGTCTGTGACCTTGAAACTGAATCTTGTGGCTTGAAATTGAAATGAGATAAGTGAATTCGAATTGAGAGAAGTGAAAGTACATACAGAGCTGAATTTTTAGTGAGGCTTAAATATATTTTCAGTTACAACTCAAATTATACAATTCAGATTCACGTTTTCAATGCCATTATTCAAGTTAAACAATACAAATTGAAACTATTCTATTTAGATTCAGTTTTTTAATGTGATCATTCAAGTTGTGCGGCAGATGCTAAAGAAATCACATTCTGCTTTTTGTCTTTTTCACTTTTGTGTTCTAAATCTTTTTGTGCATGTAATAGGTTTGCAAAGGGAACGAGCCCAAAATCCACCCCAAAGGCAGTTACCATCTCCCACAGAAAACATTGCTCCTGATAGCTCGTCCAGCTGTTAGTCAGGCACAACCTCAAAAACACACTGAGCTGCAGTACACACAGTGACAAATACGCAGGGTTTTTCCTCCATAGAAAAGTTTTTGCCCCCCACCAAAGAGGTTTTAGCGAGCGCCAAAGGAAAATCCTCAGCGCCAAAATGATCAAAATTGGGTGGGGGGGAACAACCTTTCAAATCCTCTCTGAATGTGTTTTAATAGCCATTTATCAAACAACTGCCATTTAGCAAGCACAACATAAACTTAAATACAACGTCTTGACTTCAGTAGTCACCTGTCTTCTCATCCACAGCTGCTGTACTTTACACATGCAGCTGGCACTGACTTCCTGTTATTTCACACAATATAAAAGCCGTTTGTGCTTCAAGTGCATCGGTATTCACTGCTACTGTCACATTTACATTTTACTCTTTAGCGTGGTTCGCTCCTTTTCCCTCTCCACATCAGGTTTTCTAGGCACTACGTGACGATCACCTGTTCCCGTTCTCTCCTGCCTGCTAATCTCCGCAGGGAGATCAGGAGCCTTTCATGCAGCCGTGTGTATAGTGGCGCGTCAAAGTCACTTTTCGTTAACCAACCAATCACAGCCTGGAGGAGGCGGGACATTAAAAAAAGGTTGAGGCACTACAGCAAACTTTAGAAATGTTTAACTCTGTAAGCAGAGTTTTTTTCATAGTTAATTTGCATAAACAAATCAATGACAGAGCACCATTTTTCTTGCACAATAATTTTGTGATTAATAAACTATCTGTAGGCAGATTATCCAAATAAAGTGTAACCTGTAAATATATTATTATACTAACATTATACTTTCTATTTAATGTTATATAATATATGTTTTTTTTATCAAATGGTCAGAAATAATGCATAGATTTCGGTCATTAGGTCATTAAGTCATTGCCTTTACTCACCCATCATTCGTACTGTCGCACAAAGTCACCCCCCAAAAGGCCCATTCTGCGCCAGGAAAAACCCTGAAATACGTCCACCGTATTGTTACTGTGCTGTAGAGACGGTGCACAATATAACTTTGTAACAAATCAATAACTTACCATTTGGAAATATCTAACTCTGCACTGTGAAGCTGTTTTGGGAACATGTACAGCTGACACAAGGCTGTGTCCGTCTAAGGCGGCTTTGTTTTTGATCATGCTGTCACACTTGAGGGTGAAAAGAAGTGCTTCAGCAAATGTTTTTTGAAAACATAGTAGTGAAACACAAGTGTAATGATAAATAGTAGTAGTGAATGGACATCTACTCTCACACCACCTCCTGACAGCGCGAACAACACACACAAGGCCAGATACAGTAACTGTCTTTAGAGATAAAGGTGGCTTAAATGTGTATTCAGTTCAGTGCCTCTCTCATATCAGCACCTGTGCAGTGTCCCAACCTCTGTCTATACCTGCCTACCCCTCCTTACACATACTACTTACTTATGAGGTTGTTACTTATGAGGCTGGATGCCTTTGTTTCAATGTACGTAGCAAACTGAATAATCCAAAATAATAAGCATCCTTCACTCCTCCACCCGAACAAAAGACCTAATGCTACTTGGGTTCTTGATTCTTGATATATGTAGTTTTGAATTAGTACAAAAAGAGATTTAACTAATAACCCCTTTAATCACGCGTAGGAGAAACACTACTTACACACGACAAATAAATACTCGTCTGGGGCACCACCATATTAATAATGGGGAAATTAAAACACACTTAGATAAAATTTTATTCATATTTTGATCAGTCTCTTATGGAATTAAATTCTTTCAATAGATTGACCTACTTCAAACAAAACACACAGGCACATTCTTACTGATTAAATGAGGGCATTTTTTATTGCTAAATACCTAATAATAAATGAGGGGGATTACTAAGGAAAATAAACAAACGGGATAAATACCAGATATTGTTTTGAAATAATCCTGATATTATTGGCAATAGTATGTGATCTGATAGTGAAAACTAGGGGTGTGACGAGACACTTAACCGACAAGACAAGATTCGAGATTGGGTTCACGAGACTGAGAAACACAAAATTCAGGTGGCAGGTGATGATTCAAAATCTGTAACTGAACTATAATAGAATTTAAGTCAATGCAGCTCATTCTGTGCTGCTATCAGACCTGTTTCTCCTGTAGATCAACTTTCATATCATCCCCTGCTGAGTCATGATTTAGTCTTCCCTCTTCTTTGTGTCTTTGTTTGGGGAAGTAACCTCTTTAAATGTGACTGTGGCTCCTTTTCACCATAATAATAAATTATTTAATTTTAATGTAGTTATAAACTCCTGGACTTTAATAGTTCCTGTGTTTTTCAGCAGATTTTCTGCTCATGGTCAACACATTTATGTGCAGTCGAAATTGAGTACCAGCTGTATACAGCGTGCTCGCCTCGAAACCCAGGTGTCTTGTAACATTAACTTAGCCCTCCTGGGCAGCTGTGTTCATGAGGGATAGAGAGAAGGACGGGTGAGCAAAACAGAGAGAGAAGGATGAGCGAGAGGATGTGCTGCACGAATGCGCTATGGCGCTCTGCAATCAAATACGGTGGTGGTCAGCGTTGATATTGTGGTGAGCCGCCACAAATAAAAAAAAATGAAATAAAACGTATGGGAAACACTGCAACTATATAAAATAAAAGCTAGTACTATAACCAAAACTGTACACTAACAATGTAATGTCTATTTAGAATAATAAAGCAACAGTCCTCTTTCATACTACTTCTGTAGTTTTATTTTTCAAAGTGCTTAGGATAGTTTTAGGATCTAACTTGGTGGAGAAAGTTCTGTTGGCTACATCACGAGCCAGATGTTCCTTGATTTACTTTAAACCATTACTCAGATTGCCAGCACATCGGCTTAAAATTGTGTAGTGTGAACTAGGCTTTAGTGTATGTTAAAACATGATAACATATAAAATAAAACAATATATAGAGTTATTTATACACGTATACACCCAGAACATTCCAGAGTGCATTTTTTGAATGTGCATCTGGGAGAATGTAAACAGTAGCAACAAGATATTAATTCACAAGAAACTAATGTCCATCTTTGACTGTGTTTGAGCACCATTCATCATCGATATAAAACACAGTCCACCTCCTCTCATCTTGCTGGAGTCTTACGCTGACCGCTCGGTCCACTGACCGCCCGCCCAGCAGGGGCGGTTTGTTCATTAAGGCGATCGGGCGACACACCACCAAGCCGAGAAAGGCAGGGGATTTTTCTCACACTTTCTACAACACTGTGACACTTTTTGACAGACCGTCTGCCTCTGAATATTTTTGTCCAATCACTGTAAAGTCGTGTTCCATGGAGTCCCATGGAGTTTCAGTCTGGTTGAAAATGGCCCAGATTGCTCTCATAGACTTTCATGTAAAGCCAGTTTTTTTTTCGAGCTGCGGGCGCTGCAATGCAATCTGTTTGGCTTGTGTGTTTACGTCATGCGCCCAGCAGCTGAGCTACGCTTCTGCCACTGTGACGTGATAACAACTCAGCAGTCCGCCTACTATCAGCTGTTTCAACAAAACGTACGTTCAGGCTGAAAATTCAACCAATATAATAATAATTATATAATCTTTTTACGTTATCCTTTAGATGCCTTCTTGTTTATGTGTAGATACAGAGGAAGAGTGGGAGAAACACATAGCTTGTTGTTACTGTGTGACTATAGAGCATGGGAGAACAGTGTATACTGTACTAGTTTTATTAATTGCACATCATCAGCCCCAGTGCCACTGCGCGTTATTCTGGATTTGTTGTACCTAAATAAAACTGTTTGTCACAGCTAAATCAGATGATTGTGAGAGTATTTTTTTTCATTAATGCTAATGTAGTTTCGTTTACATCCAAAGGTCTTTGAGGATGAACTGAAAAACAGCAACCCATCTGAAGTTGATCACTGTGGACTGTTCAGTCATTGTAGACATTGATAATGAACCTCGGGATGTAGCTGTCCATGAGTGCTGTACAGTATGTAGCCTAAGGAACAATCCTTGTCTTATAGCTGACTTAGACCATTGAACTTGTCACCTTTTAGATATCTTCGCAGCAATCCCCCCATTGGAGATTTAGCAGGAGCTGCCTCTGCCGCCCACTGCTGGTCGACCGGTGGTCTCTGTAATGATGTCTCTGATTTCCGTTTCCTTGGCCAACATAAGTCCCACTTTGTCTGGACCTTTAGGAGCAGCCTGAAGTCCAAGCTGGGCCAACATGGCTCCTTTCCCGACTCTCTCCTCTGAGCGTTCACCGCACCCATCGTGCTGCCTGGTCCGGTAGTTTGGGCCGGGTGGATCGTAGTCCACTGATCTTAATCCAAAAACCATGTCATCCTTTTCAAATGAATGGGCAATACGTGTTTCGGTAATAAAGCCAGGAAAAACAGATGGAAAAAAAAAATAAAATCACAATAAGCATGAAACCACTAAGCCAATCATAATGAAGCATGACAACCGCTCCACCCCTCATTCTTACTGATGTGTGTATGTGTGTGTTGCAACAGGAGGACCCGTGGCATGCCAAAGTGAGTGATGTACGCTCCCAGCTTCGCTTCCTGGAGGAGGTGGAGAGTTTGAAGAAGAAAAGGAAAGACAAAGAGGAGAGAGAGAGACTTCTGCGTTTGGCCAGAGTAAGCTAGGCTAGAAGGTAGCCCTACTCTTGTTTGACATAAACCACCATTTTTTCTATTAGAAACTAGACATTAGATATACAACCAAGGTTTGGTTATGGTTGTTTTTATGATATGAAGTTTAGATTTAAAAGTTTCTTTAGACATTTGTAGAAATTTAAGTGCCCTTTTAGGTCATAATTAAAGAGGTGGTATTCTGCTTTTTGGCTTTTCCCCTCTCCTTTATTGAGTTATATCTCTTTTTTTGTGCATGTAACAGGTTTGCAAAGTGAAAAAGCCCAAAGTCCAGCCCAAAGGGAGTTCCCATCTCCCACAGAAAGCTCTGCTCTGAACTGCTTGAAAACACCTCGTTTGTAGTCCAGCCCTTCACTTCCTTTACTTGTGACGGGCTACTTGTGTGTAGACATTTAATTTCTGCCATGTGTAGGATTAAATGCTGCTGACTAAGTCAACTGGTTAAATGATGTGTTTTTGTTATATGTGAAACAGTGAACATCATAGGACGCAAGACAAATTTCAGAAAAAAATATGGAAACAAAGTGAAATGAAATGTATCATCTGTCTGTGTTCAGAGTCGCTCACATACGGAGGATCCACTGCATCAGCAGCTCAAGCAAAGAGCCAAAGAGGTGTGTATGTGTTTCAATCTTGTGTTATACACAAGCTAAAACAGGCTAAAAGATGTGTAGAGAGAACTGGTTTTAGTTAAGTGTGTGTGTGTGTGTGTGTGACAATTAGTGATAAAAATCCAGTATTGGCATGGAGCAGTGATGTCCAGCATTTTCCACAATCTTGTAATACAAGATAGTAAAGGGAGTGCTACTGCACATTAATGTAAATTGAATCACACAAACTCTTGACAATAGACACATTTGTGTTACCTGATGGTATGTGTTGCCCTATTATTGAAGTAATTTAATAGAATTAACTACAGCAATTATTGTTTCTATTATTATCATTATTAAAATAGAGCATTAAGTTATATACATGGTTGGGTGCATTAACCAAGGACAGAAGTTGTTCAAAATCTACATGGGGACATTTTTGGCACTTCAGTCAGAAGAATCAGAGATAAAGATTATGGATTGAGGCTGGATTGGTCTGTGGATAACCGGTTTATTTCACACTAAGGTAGTGAAAGGCTCCTGATATTTTTCAGTTCTGTGTACCAGTGTAAACTACAAAGAAGTGTTGTTTGGGAACTTTGTTAAATGCCTGTGTTTCTAAATTTGCTAATTGTTCATTTAGTAATGCATTAGTGTGTGTAATGTTATTTGCTGGCAGAATAGGGAGAAGTGTGAGGAAGATGATAGGTGTGTGTCTATTTAACGGCTTGTTTTCCTTTTCATCATGCTCCCAGAGGTTTCTTTAAAACAAAAAAAAAAATCAGTTCATTTATATTGGCCTGTTGCTGCCACCCCCACACACACTCTCAGCCACTGCACCATACCCTCACTCACTGCACTTCGCCAAGTCTGGACCTACACACACAAACACACTCTCACATACACACAAGCTTGAGGGTTAGGGTTACTGTTTATGTCAATAAACTATGACAATGTTTATGTCTCTGTTTCTTTGATTTGTGATTTTAGCCACATGCTCTGGTCTGGACAGTACTTTGGTCAATGTGGGTTGCTTTTAAAAGTGACGTGACTTGACTAATTGTCTGTTTCTCAGGTCTCAGTGGAAGGTAGTAGTGCATAAAATGCGAGTTTGGTGACAGAGAACCACCTTTAACAAACTTTGTGTGGCTATTGATTTAAAATTCAATTAACTGTAACTCCCTCTTGCTGGGTAGTTCATCATGTCAAGTAGTTGAGAGTCAGAGACAGGGAAACATCTCATGAGTTCACTTTTCCATTCAAGCTTTTACGCCGAAACTTTGAAATGCAGGTGGAGAGGGAAACGTGCCGGAAAAACAGACTTTTATTCATCCTCTGTTCTGTGCTTTATGGAGACATAGAAGTGTGGATCGATACTGGACTCTGTGCTGCAGCTGGCAGGCTTCCAACTCGTGATTGTGACACTGATCTCTCCAGCAAAACGAAAGGTGGAGGTGTCTGTTTTTACGTCAACAGTGGCTGGTGTAACAATGCGACGGTGATTAAACAGCACTGTTCTCCTGTTCTGGGATCTTAATAAACTGTTGATCATTCAAAGGTGCTCTCACCTTTGCATGTTACACCACCATCATTGTCCATCCTCACCTCCTCCATGACTATCTGGTACGCTTCTGCCACTGCCAGGGACAAAGGCAGACTGCAGCGTATCATTCGCTCTGCATAGAAGGTGATTGGCTGCAGTCCACCACCCCTCCAACACCTCACGCCACAAGTTGTTTTATTTATTGTTTATTTTTTTGTCCGCCGCTGGTATTATCAACAAGCCCTCCGCAATGTGTGAACAGCTGTGCACATGTATTTTTACTAATCCTTTGTCTCGATTCTTTTTTCAGTTACAACAAATTGAACAAGCTCAGCTGCAGCAAAGAGAGGCCAACCTCACTGCTCTAGCTGCCATTGGGCCTCGCAAGAAGAGACCTCTGGAGCAGACTGAAAGCCAGGTTGGTCTGTGTGGTGTTTCCATTCTGTCATAGAATTCAGCACTTCCAGCAGATATTTTACATTAAAGGCCTACCAGGAGATGCTACAATTCTCTCATGTGAACAACTGGAAGGCTTTTAATGTGTCCTCTAAAAGGAGGACAAAAGCAAATTATAGGGAGCTTGAATTTGTTGAGGTTGCTCTCATTGCTTCAAACATTTAAATAGTGCCACTATAACATCCTGACGTCAACCTGTTCCTGATGTTTCTTGCATTGTGACAACCACTGTGACTCATGTTGCTTGCTAATGTAAACGTTGAGTCCTGTAGCAGAGCTACAGAAGAAAGATAAAACAATATCTTGCCAGCTGGGTGCCTCCAAAGTTAAGGATAAAGACAGAAAAGGTACCACAGTAAAAACTACTTGGCACCAAGCAAAGAAACAAAATATAAAACACCACACACATGCATTATGTTCTTATGTGAAGACTGAAACTGACAATGGTTGTGTAGCACCAATGATTGGTTGATAGAAATACCTGCTATAAAGACCACCCCCTCCTCAGCTAACACAGACAGCTTTGTGTGAGACTGTTGGTTTAGCTCATAGTCTTTAATTCTGTGTGTTTAAGTTGTGGCCCTGCAGGCTGTAGGTTTAAAGATGAGGACGCTCTGTTAAGTGCACACACTTCCCACTGCCTTTGAACTGCAGCAGAGTACCCAGCGGAGCCAGCTGTCTGCTGCCTCACTCAGTCTCCCATTCCTCTCACAGCCACAGGGCTTCCTTTACCTCCTCACTAGTGTGTGCTGTGCCCACTGAGGTAAAGCCTGTGCCTCCAGGTGTGATGGTAAGAGTGTTTGGAGTGGAAGCTCTTTTGAATGTCATCTGTGTTTTTACAGCTGATCTTTTTCACTCTTAAGCATTTGTTATTGTACATACTCAGACAGGAGCTCAGGCAGGGAACTACTGGGCTACTGTCAAACACGAGCACTTTTGTCAGGCATAAACTCTAAAATAAGCGTATGCTTATTATAACCATCTCAGACCATGGCCCGGTCAGCTTTAATCTAGTACATGAAACAAATCCAACCGGCTCAAGTAGGTGGTGGTTTAACACCTCACTTGTAACTGACAAAGATTTCAATAATTTCCTCGCCAGAAGGAATCTTTTATTGAACTGAACAACTCCCCAGAAATCTCACCATCATGCTCAGAGGGGTATTAGCTTAGTTTAGAGAATTATAAATGTCTGTTACGCAAACTGGGCCATCTTGGTCAATACTTTTAATAATTTAGTGATGTTGAAAGGAGAGACGTCTCCAACCGTTCCTGCGGGTGCTTTGCTCGTTAGCTCTGTACTGTCACTTTCATATGGACTTGCTTGTACCCTTTGACTAGTAATCGTCACTTGTGACTGGCAATCACAGCATAGTCGGGCCGGAGTTGTCGAAACTCTGGCAGGGTAAAAAAATGCGATTCAAATGCAGTGGGCTGTGTGGGCACTGCAGCAGTGTGTGTATCAGCTCACTGTTGGGGGGATGAGAAACACATTTTCAGGATCGATACTGTGGAAAATTAATATTAAAACCATCTGAAATATTCAGAATTGATATGTATAAAAAAAATCAATATTTTTGACAACACTACTCCACACTAGGCATTGGCTGATAAGTTTTGTTGTTTGTTTGTTTTTTTTTATGGTATACCTGCACTGACCACAATATTTTATTTTAAAGGGGCATTATGTAGTTTTCAGCGGCCACTAGCGGTGCATTTTTAAGATTGCAACCAGGCGTGTGCTCGCTTGAACTCACTCGCTTGAGCGAGCATAATCCCGAAACACAACCGCTTATAAACGCAGGAACACCAGCATGCAGGCTGTGACTTTTCACACAGATGTCTGTGTTCAGGCTCTGTTACTTCAACGTTCCCGTCTCAGAGGCAGATCAACACCGGCTCCGTAATGTTACTTCATTCAGCGCAGCCAGCCGCAACTATCTTTACAATCTGTGTATCTTTCACCGGAGGCTCAGCAATGTCAGCACAGAAATATATTGGATGAAACGGGTAGTGAGCTGGACTGAATATTATAATGAGATTGTGTCACACTTTGACAGTTAGACCGCAGTAAGTAACTTTACTGTAGTGTTAGTGCATGGCTCTTCCTCACTTTGTTCTTGCTCGACATCATCTGAACCTGTTTGGTCTGATGAGCTTCAGCACATAAACCTTTATTGTTGTTTCGGATCCTTACGTGGAGCCTGTGTTTTGCTGTGAGCTGGTTGTTTTATGGTGTTAGTGGACTGCATGTCGTTGGCTGCCGTGTTGTCGCTGTAGTCAGAAAGAGGCTTGGGAGCGCGCACAGGGCTGAATCCGACCCGGAGACCTCTCATTAAAAACAGAATAGTGGCTGATGCAAGCAACGGAGAAAACAGGCATGTGCTTCATTTCTAAGTGACTTTTGAGCCCATTGACAATAAGGCAATGAAAATATTTTGAAATGTTGAACTCGTTATTCTGTCTGAACGGTTTTTATTATTAAGTTATTACTTTGCATAAAAAAAGACTAACCTCCATGAGTACTTTTCTTGCACACTAATGAATTATAATAATTTAAGCTATATAGTAGCCTATACTATGATCTGAACTTATAACTCTAATCACAGTGGTGTAATATTAGATCAGAAAGTTTTATTGGTGAAACAGAAATTATTTGTAGGCAGAGTATCCAAATACACTGTGTTCCAAATTATTATGCAAGTAATATTTTACACTGATTTTCCTAAATAGTCAATGCAAATGACAGTCAGTATGATTTTCAAGTCATCAACCATTAGGGAATAACTTGAAGTTCATTGAACAAACCACCCAATGGTTGTTTTATTTTTTTCAACATAAAAAAACTCTTAATCCATTGTTCCAAGTTATTATGCACAACAGTTGCAAAACATTTTATAGGTTGTAAAGAACTGAATTGTTGAACTTGTAGCATTAGGAGGTCATATTTACTTAAATCAATCGCTATTTCAAACAAACACTTAACAGGGCGAGTTACATGTTAACATGGGACCCCTTCTTTGATATCACCTTCAGAATTCTTGGATCCATTGAACTTGTGAGTTTATGGAGAGTTTCTGCTTGAATTTCTTTGCAGGATGTCAGAATAGCCTCCCAGAGCTGCTGTTTTGATGCAAACTGCCCCCTACTCTCATAGATCTTTTGCTTGAGGATGCTCCAAAGGTTCTTAATAGGATTGAGGTCAGGGGAGGATGGGGGCCACACCATGAGTTTCTCTCCTTTTATGCCCACAGCAGCCAATGACACAGAGGTATTCTTTGCAGCATGAGATGGTGCATTTTAGGGCTGACCCCGAATAGTCGAAGATTCGATGCTTCGATGGGCGGAGCCTGATTCGACTGTCAATCTCACAATTGAAGTGTCGTAGCAGAAACGAGGATCATGCCATTTTGGCTATATGGGGGTGCTCAACGTCTGATTTTACATAGAACTACCAGTTTTCTCCCAATAAGTTAATATACAGCCTATTACAATATACATTTCAATGTTTAACATGTAAATAAACATGTAAAAAGAATAGAACTTTCAATAAATGTTTTTGAAGTGTGTGAATAAATCCAGAATTTGTAACCCTAACCCTGGGGAGTTGTCCGCACCTCGCGAGACCTTAGGATAATTTGTCACCATTGATGAACCACATAGAGAATATTATATCGTTTTTAAATAGCCAGCTACTTGAAATAGAACCGCGGGGAGCCGCGACGTGCATGTAGCTGTCGGCAGCAGTAATGCACATAAAATTCTGCCCAAGGCCGCTGAATGACAGGCGAGAGAGAGAGAGAGATCAGTTTAGCTGGAAATTTACAGCGTAAGTTGAATGAATAGACTGCAGCTCTGCAGCTTCTCAAGAAAAGAGGAGCTTACCGTCTGTAAACACGCACCGCTTTGTAATGGCAGTTTAGCAGCTGCTCTCTTCTTCATTGATTTCAGTGACTCAATGATCCCAGAGACACAATACCATCTATAAGTTTGATTTGAAAACTAAATATTTAATGACCCTTAGTTCCAATTTGCATAATAATTTGGAATGTGGTGTAAAGTGTAACCTGTAAATATATTATACTAACATTATACTTTTTATTTAATGTTATAATATTTATTAATACACTAATTTATACTTGTTAGCCTACTCCTCCAGGTTGCTGATATTTTGTTTATCAAATGGTCAGAAATAACAAGAAAATGCATAATTTCATAGGTAATTCATTACCATTATTGTATGCGTACCGATCATGCTTACTATTGTGTGAAGTCACCCTCTAAAGGCCCATTCTGAGCCAGGACATAGACAAGTCAAATAAAAATTACTATCACACACAGTGGTGTACAACAAAGAATATATAAAACAAGTCAATGTACAATTAAAGGAAAAACAAATTACACATCACGCAGTAGTTTATAATCAATTTTAAAGAAACAAAGTTGATATACAAATAATTAATAAAATTTGCATCACACATTCAAAGCTTTTTTGTAGAAAATGTGTCTTACGAAGTAAGGTAAAACCAGGAATAGACTCTGCAAGCCCGATCTCCTCTAGCAGATTATTCTAGAGTGTAGGGGCCCTGTCTCCTTTGGTTTTTAACCTAGACCTCAGAATAGCTAGCACTGCCCTACCAGAGGATCTCAGTCTGCCTCCAGGCTCATAGGGGGATATACACCGATCAGCCTTAACATTCTGACCACTGTAAGTGGATAAGATATTAGGCAACAAGTGAACCTCTGTGTTATGATGTGGGGACAGAGTGGACCCAAACGCAACACTCAAGATGAACAGGTTTTATTGAAGGGGAAAAGGGGTTGAGGGAGTGGAGGTGAGGGAGAGGCGGACACCGGGGAAACACGTGCACGGGGAACCGAGGAGACTGAGACAAGGGAGCTGGGGGCACTGGGGGCCGAGGAAGTAAGGAGGCACAGGGAGGAGCCGGGAGGATGCCGTGGAAGAGGTCCGAGGGGAGAGGGCAGGGTGGCGAGCCCAGCTGACGGAATGGAGGACGGAGGTGAGTGAACCTGGAGGGGAGGCGGACAGGGTTAGACACTGGGGAAACAAAGTACAGGGAAACAGAAACAACGCAGAATACTCAAGAGCTTGAGTGGTGAAGTGGCACCGGGTAAGGAGCAACGACAATCAAGCAGGGGTTGACTGGAGAACCGGGGTAGAGCACATGCAGGGGAGGAGACACAGAGAGGCAGGCAGAGTACAGGAAAACATCAGGGGAAAACAGAATCACAAGCAAAAAGAGAAATAAACAGGACACTCACTGTCAGCAGGGCTGCCACCACAACGTTCTGCCACATAGTTGATGTGTTAGAAGCAGGAAAAATGGGCAAGTGTAACCCGAAGTAGTCCAAGGAAGGAAAAACTGAACCTGTGACAAGGTCATGGACAGCCAAGACTCACTGATGCATTTGGTTCAGTGAGTTTTGGTGGCCTGTGTGGTCCGATCCAGCAGATGAGCTACTGCATTGTATTATATTACCAAGGGGGAGTATATAGATGGAAATAGAATGGAACCCTGACGGATGCCATAGTGCATGTTTGTGGGGGATGAAACTGAGCATCTTCAGTCAGCAAAAGGTCATTACAGACACAGAAGAGCAGTCTCAGCTCTATGAAGTGATCAAAATGCAGAATGGAATTTTTCAAATAAGATAATGTCCTGCAGATGTGCAGGAAAACCAGTCCTTTTTTCTAGGACTTGATGACAATGACAATTTAGAAACGGGGATCAACATTTTTCAGGAAAGGTATAGCAGAGCAGTTTTAAACCAATCAGGGACGGCACTGGACATCAGGGAGCCATTTACAGTAGCTGGAGCCAGAGCTTTCAATCAGCCTTCTCTGGTGTCCGGTGTGCGTCCTCCTCGATCTTTCTTCGGTTGTCCACTGACTTCCGCACGGTGGTCTTTGACCTTTTCACAGTGCGTGCTGTGTGTTTTGGTCTGGTGTTCATTCATCCAGGTCCTTGATATTTTACTGATGCAGTGCTCCCCACAGCTGTTACATGTGATGATGACGATGTCGAACACCACTCCAGTCTTCTTTTCGGGGGGGTCCTGACTTTATGGTATACCAGCAGAGATCTTAAAGTGTTGAAAGCACACAACTACTGTAAGCAAACTCCACTGATGATCATCAGATATGGTTGAAAATCCTTGAAAAACATAGTAAGTGAACCTTGAGTATTCTGTCAAACTCCTGTTCTCAAGGTCGAGAATGAACTTTCACACTCAAAACGTCTGATGTAACGGCAGTTCTTAATTTTGATAATTTTATGTTTCCAGTTTATCCCCGTTTGTGTTCCCGTCTTACAATAAGACAAATTGGATCAGTATTTGTGTCAGACACTCACCATAAGACCAGCAGGTTAATGTCAGCAGGGTGTTTTTTGTGATAATAAACAGCTAATTGTACTGTAGATCATTGCTTACTTATTACATAACAATGAATCTGAAAATAGTCATATTTATACTGAATATATAGTTTACTTGCTGTGTGTGTGTGTCTCAGGTGACTCTGCTGCCCAGACAGGGTGTTCAGAGAGTGACTCGGATCATCCTGAGGGATCTGCTGATGTGTATGGAGCAGGACCACTTCCTACGCCACTCTCTCACTCTGTACAAAGCGATGATCTGACCACCATAAATTACTCCTCCTACAGTTAATGACTGATATTAATCTGTAGATTGTGTTTACGGGATCCCAAGTTTTGGAATCTTTTGTTTATCTTTATTTTATTTTTTTTTACCTCAAAGATTTTTGCGCTTTGGTTCAATTCTATGAAATCTCTGTTTATTATCTATTTATTTTAGCATGTTGTTTGAAAGATGGTGCTGGATCAGTGATCAGCTGTCTCTGAAAGCACTCATGAATCATTTTGGTTTTGATGTTGATTGTGTTCCTTTTGAAAAGAGAATTTCAGTTGCAGAAATAATCAACCTGTGAGTTGGATTATAATAAGAATAGAGGATAAGTGCTTCTATGAAACACTGCTGTTTACCGAAAAGTACTATGAACAGTGTTGAAAAAGTGTCAGAGGCCTCAACTTGATGTTGAGTTTTTCATTATTCTGCTTGTTTATTGTTTGACCATTAAAATAAGTAGAATTTTTCACACCCTTACTTTTACTGTCTAGTTGTTTTTGACTGGTGATGTAACATTGGTCTGTTGGTCTACCACTTTGGTGCAGAATTAAATGTCTCGACAATTATTGGATGGACAGCCATGTTATGGGCCATGGTTGTCTCACATCTCCACGCTGGTGAAGAAGGCTCAAAAACGCCTGGATTTCTTAAGGAAACTTAAGAAGGCCAAATTCCCATGCCACACGCTGCCGCACCACCAGAATGCAGAGCAGCTTCCCCCCCCCCAAGCTATCAGACTTTTAAGGTCAAATTCATCTTCAGCACTGCTCTATTAAATATAGTTTATTTCTGTTTACCATTGTTTATAATTGCATCTATATTTATGTATATTGTCTGCTATGTAGCAGAAGGGAGTTACAAACTTGATTTCACTATATAAACTGTTATGCTGTGATAAAATAAATGTACCTACCTACCTACAAAATAAATATTCTACACACATTTACTGCACTCCCACCTGGTTGAGCTGGTGCGTGCTGGCCTGGATAACAACCTGCCCATTGAGGATGATCGTGACCTCCCGCTGTCAAACTTTTGCTCCTCTACATGCCTGCTATTTGCTATTTAAACCTCTCCTTTAAGAAGGAAGCACAAGAGGCCTCATCCTTCCCTCATTGGCTAGATGGAATGGATTCCGTCCATCAAAGATACCCCACTCAGTCACCCTACCGAGTGGTCTGTTGGTCCGGTCCAGCCCTGACTGAAAATGTTCCCCCTCCTGCGCATCTCATCAATTTCATGGACCCCCTTCTAAAATCTTGCTTTGTATGATGGCAACATGTTAGATTTGGAGATTCCTGTGGGCGGAGACTTGGTCACTTTATGGAACTCCCAGGGGCGTAACATACTGTTTCTCTGGTGCGAAAATCTTGGATATAACAAATACATCCCTGCAGTTATTGAGCTCCATCCATCCGCCCGTACAGTCTTCGTTCAAGTGGGTACAACTGTCTGGGTAAAAAGGTGAAATATCTTGGCCCTTTCCTAGAAAAGGGTGAAGCTTTTAGTTTGCTTTTGGGTTTTAATCAGTAGCTTCAGGGCCTGTGTTCTGTCACCAGTTTCAGCTTTAATGATCACTTCAATATATTTTGGAGTAGGAGAGACTTGCCCATACTACACCCCAACAAAAAGGGCACACATTTCCACACAGAAAGGTTTGTGTCTTTCATGAACAACATCTGTCCATGCTGATTATCCTGTACAAGCCCTCCTTGATAGTGTTCAAAAGATTCTCACACAAGATTAAGACCATTTGTAGTAGAAGACCACTGTGCAAATGGGGCAGCAGCAGTTATCAAAAACAGGTATGTCAGATTTAATCATAATTGTGTTTGTTTATCAACTCTGCAGGAGATTATTTGTGAATTATTTTTTTTATGTAACAAAAATTGTCTTTTCAAATGATTCAGATCTCTGCCTTGTCTCAGAATCTTGGCTGACACCAAATGATCATGTTCTACTACCCACCTGGCTATTGTTTTTAAGCCGCCCAGACTAACGGGCAGGGGTGGTGGTGTCTTTTACACAAAGAAAGCTACAAATTCTCCAGCAGTGAGCTGGGGCTGTTAAGAAATCCTTCCTTTTAAAGTAAAATATCCTGGTCTGTGGTTCTGGTTCTGATCCTTTCTGACTTTCTTATCCATACCTTTTGCCCTGACATCTCCCTTGATTTCAAAAATCTTCTAAAGTGATTTATCTTATTACATGCTCTGACTCGACCTGCACACTCAAAATGTCAAACTCTTGATCTAATCTTATCCTATGGTATAAAGATTGCCACCAATGCCTTATGTTTAACATGGTGTTGCCAGTAGCCCGGTCCCCAAAACCTACTTTAGAACTTTTAATCATTTCAAAGTCTAAAATCCAATAAAATTTAAAAATGTTCTCCTAAAGATGATTTTGAAAGGTTTTTTATTTGTTGATTGGATTATGAAGTCCATGTCTATTTTAAATGTGTTTTGGGGAAGCATTTGCATTGATTAAACTGTAACAACTACAGAACAATCAACATGGAATCAATAACCACTCATGCATATTGTGCCAAGATCAGAATATTTTGGAGGACTGTGGTGTTTATCAGCATCTTACCTGAATGAAAAGAAAAATTACTATGTTCTCCACATATTGTTGTATATGGTCACGTTAGCTTCTCTATTCTGTGTTTGATTGAGGGTACACACACACAGGAAGAAGGACTGACTGATGTCGGTGTTCTTTTTAAACTTCACTCAGTATTTTGATGTCAGGAATATCAAGCTATTTATTTTACATGACATGACATTTTAGATTTGTTTCCAGTGAGATATTGAGTCCTAGTGTGAATATAGGACTTTACTGTTGATGCTCTAGAAAAAATATCTTAGGTTTAAAATATAAATCAGTTCAACTCCTGTTCTCAGTGACAAACACAATTCTTTAGCAATGAAAAATTATCAGTCAAGTATTCATAAAGAACCTTTCGAAGTTCAATTTCTTTATATTAATGTTACTTTCATTTAATATGGTTAAGTGCAAGTTCAGCAAGAGAACAGCACATTTATTGCTTGGTTGAGGCCTGTTTCTTTCTGTTTGGTAGAAACTACAATGAGAAGCTGTTTTAGGAAATGAATGAACATTTTAAACATGACTATTTACTAAATCCGCCCAGCTGATGGGACAACAGCGTATGTGTCTTAGTTTTAATTCAAAGAACAACAGTCCATTTTATGTGTTCTTATTCTTGGAGATTGTCATGTCTGTTGTCTGTCTTCATCCTCATTTATCTCTGTTTTGATCAAACTCAGAGTCTTTTAACTTGGTCCAATATATAAAGCAGCCCACACATAACAAAGGTCACACACTTTGGTCACCTATGGTTTATGTGTGGATAATGTGTCCAACTTATATTCAGTAATTGGTCCTGCACCCATACAGCCAGGTGAATCTTCTCCGGAAAAATGTGAAGAATTTCTTAATTACTTTTTTTTTTAAGTCGTGGAGATTCAGCAGGAACCCTGGAACACACTGTTGCATTGTCTAAATCATCTACCTGCCCTTCAGACTGCATTCAGACTTGGTTTTTAAAAGCTGTATTTCACACGGTTGGCCCAGCCATCATTAAAAAGCCCTCTTTAGATGCCTCTGTTTTAAGTAATTTTAGACCCATTTCCAAGCTGCCATTTTATCCAAGATTTTACAATAAATTGTTTCATCAGTTAATTTCCTTTTTGAACAATAATCAAACTTTTGAAAAGTTTAATCAGGTTTCCGCTACTTACACAGTACTGAGTCTGCTCTGATTAAGGTCACCAATGATTTGCTGCTTGCAGCTGATTCAGGAATATATTCTCTTTTAATTCTTCTTGACCTCAGCTCAGCGTGACTATGTTGCCATCAGTGATGTGGCCCTGGATTGGTTTGTCTGCAATCTGTCAAATAGGTAATTTCTGTGATCCTTGGAGAAGCCTCCTCTTCTCATGCTCCTCTGTTTTTTAGGGTCCCCCAGGGGTCGAGCTTGGGGGCACTTCACATGTTACCCCTAGGGCAAATCATTCAGACTTATAATATTAATTTCCATTTCTCTGCAGATGACATCCAGTTGTATGTCCCGTTAAGGCCTGGTTCTACCGATGTTTCTCTCTTGCTGAGATAAATGCTTGGATGTCTAATAACTTTCTTCAGTTAAACGAAACTAAATCAGAAATAGTTGTATTTGCCCCCGTTGGACCCAGCACTAGCTACCTTAATAATCTCCTGCCTATCCTTTCAGATAACATTCAGAAAGAAGCACACAACCTTGGCAACCATTTTTGACTCAGAGCTGTCTTTTGATGCTAAGGTGACCAAAGTGGTGCTGTCCTGTTTTGTCGAGCTGAGACAGCTAACAAAGATTAGAACATTTTTCTCCTCTGCTGATTTAGAGAAGGTCCTCCATGCCTTTATTTTCTCAAGACTCGACTACTGCAATGCTCTGTAGGTATTACTGTAGTAAGGGAAACATCTATAGACTACAGCTCACTTCCATCGTATGGCGTTTTTATAAACATTATACTCTATATTGCCAAAAGTTTTAGGACACCCCTCCGATTCTTTGAATTCAGGTGTTCCTATCACTTCCATGGCCACAGGTGTATAAAATCAAGCCTTGGCATGCAGGCTACTTCTACAGACATTTGCGAAAGAGCACTGAGGCACACAGTGTGCAGAAGTCGCCAACTTTCTACAGAGTCAATAGCTACAGGCCTTTGGATTAGCTCTAGAACAGTGCGTAGCTACATGGAATGAGTTTACAGGGCCGAGCAGCTACATCCAAGCCTTACATCACCAAGTGCAATGCAAAGCATCGGATGCAGTGGTGTAAAGCACGGCGCCACTGGACACTAGAGCAGAGGAGACGTGTTCTCTGGAGTGATGAATAATGCTTCTGTGTGGCAATCCGATGGAAGAGTCTGGGTTTGCGGTTGCCAGGAGAACAGTACTTGCCTGACTGCATTGTGCCAGGTGTTAAATTTGGTGGAGGGGGGATTATGGTGTGGGGTTGTTTTTCAGGGGTTGGGCTTGGCCCCTTAGTTCCAGTGAAAGAAACTGTTAATGCTTCAGCATACCAAGACATTTTGGACAATTTCATGCTCACAACTTTTGGGAATGGCCCCTTCCTGTTCCAACATGACTGCACACCAGAGCACAAAGCAAGGTCCCTAAAGACATGGATAAGCGAGTTTGGTGTGAAGACCGTAACTGGCCTGCACAGAGTCCTGATCTCAACCCGATAGAATACGTTTGGGATAAATTAGAGCGGAGACTGCGAGCCAGGCCTTCTCGTCCAACATCTGTGCCTAACTTTACAAATGCGCTTCTAGAAGAATGGTCAAAAATTCCCATGAATACACTCCTAAACCTTGTAGACCGCTGCAAAGGGTGGGTCCATATTAAACTCTATGGATTTTGAATGGGATGTCATTAACATTTTATTTTATTTTTTTTAGTATGGATGT